TATATATATATATATTTATTTAATGTGGTATTCACAATGTAGTAATTTGAACTAAATTCCTTAAGCAACCCAGTTTCAGGACTGAGCAATTCTCAGGTCCCAGCTCGTCATCAACAGAAGCGAAGGACCTGAAGGTATCATGCTCGGGGGCTTCTGGGCTAGAGGTTAGGGGTTTAGGATTGAGGGTTTAGAAATTGGGTTGAGGGCTTTCGGAGGCTTTGGGGCTTGGGTCGTGGGCTTGGGTTCTTGGGCTCTTGAGATTCAAGCCCCCCACCAGGGTATATACGGGCTATTATTACGGTTTAGGGTTTAGGGCTTTGGGTTCCTGGAATCTGGCTGTAGAGGTTAGAGTAGTAATTATGGTCCAGTGCTTGGGGCTAGAGGTTTGGGGCCACCAACAGCTTCCATTGTTGGTCTCCTGTTTCGTACAGACCTTCACTCTACAGACCAGAAAGGATTCTTTAGGTATCCAAGATATGTCACAATCTCCTGCCCTTGGTAACAGCTGCTGTTTTGTGTACTGGCCGCCGGATGGGAGTTGACGATCAAGCCCTCAATGAGGACACCCTTTCTGAACTCTCATCCCCAATTTATTTTTGCTTCTGACCCATCTCCCAACCTCAACTCCACCGCTCCGAGCCCATCAACCCTGCCTAAAGCCCTAAACCAAACCTCTTGGGCCGAAAATGCAGGACCAGGAACTAGGAGCCCGCTTTGTCGGAATCCTAAAGTTCCCCTTAAGTAGATAGAATATGGGGCATGGGGATCTTGTTATACCCAAAGCCATATTCTATCTGCTCAAGGGGGCCTATAACCCCAAACAGAAACCCCACAATTCTGACACCCATGCTGAACACATATGAGCCTCCATTCTTCAGGAAAGCTTACCTATTGAGCAAATCCCTTTGTGAGAAACGACCTGGTTCAGAAACATAAACATATTATCACAAGAAACCTCAGAACCTCCCACCACGCAAGGGCACAGTGTCCCTCTTTGGAAAAACAGCCATAAACTAAACCTAGACCCCTGACCCCCATAACCCTAAACCCAAGAAAATCCCCCAAAGTCCCGAAACTCCTCAATCCTCCCTATCAATGATCATATATTAGCTTCCATGTTCTTTTCCGTTATCCCTATAGTACCCGGCCAGATACCGACCTCCCTAAACCCTAGACCCTAGACCCTAATCCCTAAACATCCCTAATTAAACCCTAAACCCTAAACCCTAAGACCCTAATCCCTAAACCCTAATCCCTAAGACCCTAATCCCTAAACCCTAATTCCTGAAACCTAGACCCTAATGGGCTTTAAAAATGCTTCCGTCTGAGAGGGCGTCGAAGATGAGCCGCTCTCGGAGGCCGAGTCGGAAGCTGACTCCTGTGAGGAAAGGTTTGGGGTTTAGGATTTAAGGGTTTAGGGTTTAGGATTGAGGGTTTAGGGTTTAGGGTTTAGGATTAAGGGTTTAGTTTAGGGCCTTCAGGGGATGTGAGAGGCGCTAAATGGGGGGGTACCGTTTTGGATCCCTTGTTTGGGGCCCTATTAGAATGAGGGCTAAATTATTTTACAGGAAACCCCCATATAGCAGCTCTGTTACGGCAAGGGTTACATGTTAGGCTTTTTAAGTTGCCTTTCCATGGATCAAGCCTGCCAGTCTTCACGTGCTCTGGATCGGGTGATTATTCCTGTCTGTTTCTACCATTACTATTACTGCAATGATCATAATGGTGGATCTTGCAATTATTCTATATATTACTACTCACTGTTATATCGGCATCGCATAGTGAGAGGCAAGTTCATGAATCTAAAACCCTTAACCCTAAACTCTAAACCCTAAGCCCTAAGCCCTAAGCCCTAAACCCTAGACCCGGAACCCTGAACCCTGAACCCTGAACTCTAAACCCTAAAACCTGAACCATAAACCCTAAACCCTGAACCCTGAACCCTAAGCCCTAAGTTCACAGGCTGAGTTTAGATCCTTTCCTTGGCCAACCGCCAAGCTGTCCAGGAGCCTTTGGAGCCCAAGATAAGATAAGCAAATATCAAACCAACATAACTCCAATGGTTTAGGGTTTAGGGTTTGGGGTTTAGGTGGACCCCCCACCCAGTAATAGTGACTATAGGGGATGACAGGGATTATATTAAGGTCCTCTTATATTCCTATTCTCCCACTATTACAGGGTGGGGGGTCCTCCTAAAATATACTACGGTAGTTTCCATTTTATATTCCATTGTCCCAATATAACCCCCAGTATACTATAATCATACAAGCCGTGTAAAAGGAGGCTCTTGCTTCAATTCGTCACGTTCTTGCCATTGATTTCGTACCAATGAGAACATAGACAGATGGGCTTTTGGGTTGGGGTTGCAAGCAAACGGGAGCCTCGTCACTGTCATGGTAGCAGCAGCAGCACAGCCTCAGGGTGCAATTTGGCCAAGATTTCACAAACGCCGGAAGAGCATGAACATCTCCGCGGCTCCTTTATGGAGAACCCTCGCAAACTATCAAAAAAGCGCAATGCCCTCATTTTGACAAGCATCCATCTGCACCATGCGACCCCAAGGGCATCCGTGCCAGGTAGATTGCCATACTTCTTTGCATACAAGCAAAACCTAATTTGGAAGCTGACTCATGGGTCCCTCCCCAGATCCCCAAGCATTTCAACGCGAGCCCCCGGTCATTCGTGAAAATCAAGTGCAGGATGAAGGGAGCAACGATTGTAGGGCCGCGACGTCCTCCGCACTCGCGCTACACAGCGAGGCATGGCGTGCGATCCAGCAAGAAAATTGAAGCCCTGTTTAGAGGTGAAGACTGCATTGCTTCCTGAACTGGCACCACCATTTTGCAAATCATTCTTTGGCAGCCCCTAGGATCAGGCGTCCCCCACCCGTTTTTGTGCGAGTACAGTGGGCTGGCTAAGGCACAAAACCAATCAATGCACGTCCTGCTTAGGTGGCTGTTGTAAAACAAATTGGAGCGGTGTGCACCTACAGATTTCGAGAGCACCTGAAGCTGCGTCGCAAAACCTTCCTTGCTTATGTTAGGGCGTAGGGCGCAGTTCTCTCCTGCCAGGCTGTGACACAGGGTTTAAGGTTTAGGTGTTTAGGGGTTAGGTATCTCAAAGTTTGGGCACATTCACTGGACCTCAATGATTATGGCGGTCATATTCTTCCATGAACAACTACACATGTAGCCCCAGAAACCCTGTCATCACCAAAGGACCACACGCCCCACAGAGTTTAACTTTGATATGCCCTTACCCACCCTAAGTGCTCGCTCATGTCCCTTGCAACAGTCTCAAAGACCCTCAGGCTCCGGATCAGGGGGCACTTTGGTTGAGCTTTCGCTTGGGAAAAAACAATGTCTTGGCGGCATGTGTCCTTGCAAAAAAGTTGACGTCACCAAGAAAGCAGCAAGGTTCCCAGGAAGCCCCCCAAACCAACACAAACCCGACAAAGCCCTGCAAAACTCTACACAAGCTAAAGCAACGGCACATAACAAAACGCTAGGGATGTACACAAAGGGGTCAGCCGGGTCCCTCGGCAGGGACTTAACAGCCATCTGAAAAGCAACATGCAATCACAGACCTTCTTGGTATTGCCCGCAGGATCAGTGCAACATCCCCTATAATCCCCCAGATTTCTCAAGCACGCTTTTTCAATAGCAGTCATGGTCGGGCAGGCTTCAGCCCAGCGGCGCGGCCTCCGCAGAGAGAGACCATCTTGGATCCAAAAAACTTCTGCCGTAGGAGTCTGTAATATAGACTTTGTATGGTGCCCTAAACCTGAAAGTCTCTAACATCTTTGTGGTCTACCAGAGACCTTATGGTGCAGGGTCGCGAAGTCAGGTTGACGCGTGTGCCTCTTAGGTCTATCAGCAGGGGTTGCAGCCCAAAGGCAAGGATCCTAGAAAATTTGGAGCTCTCAGACCAAGAGCGCTTAGGGATTTGGGTTCGTAGCAAGGTCAATATCTTAGGTGGACCCCCCACCCTGTAATAGTGGTAGAATAGGAATATGAGAGGACCCTAATATAATCCCTATTATCCCCTATATTACTGGGTGGGGGGTCCACCTGACCAATATCCATAATTTCCATTTTATTTTCCATTATCCCAATATAACCCCAATACACCTTTAATATGACCCCAATGCGTACCTACATTCCCTGTATGCCCCCCCCCAAGAGAGGGAACCATGACGGCCATAGGCTGTGCCAAAGCTGATTTGGGCCAGTTTCCGATATTGAGTGGCTAAGCCTAAGCGCGGCATGCCTGCCCTTCCCAAAACAAACACGGAATCCCAGAACGCTCAGTTTTTGAGGAATGGAGAATCAAACGGCGAAAAAATAAAAATGAAATGGATCCACCAGGTCCCTTAAAGGTTCAGTTCTAAAAGGACAGTAGTCCTCGAGGGGTTCCTGCAAGAGTAGCTGCAGGTCGATAAACTCCGACTCCATCCATTTTAGGGTTTACATGGTGTTATCTTGGGGTTATATAAGGATAATGGAAAACAAAATGGAGACTGCTATATTATAATGGGGCTTTTTTTAGGGGTTCTATTGGGGTTATGTAGGGAGCCATTTCAAAACCCCGAGGCCCCCTCCCTCCAAAGCCAAGTCCTATTGCGTGTGCTCAAGTGCTCCATATAAACCCAGTATATACACTACCCTGCATAGCAGTTTCCATTTTATTTTCCAGTATCCCTATATAACACCAATAGAATCCCCATATGAACCCTAGTAAAATAAAATAGTTTCCATTTTCTCTTCCATTATCCCTATATAACCCCCAATATGACCCCATATAAACCCTATGATAATATTGTAATTTCGATTTCTTTTCCATTATCCCTATATAATCTTAATATATACACCACCTACGCAGTATTTTATACACTGTAGTTTATGATAGTTTATACAAGAATTCTGCCGAGCTTCACCTTCTACAATATAAGCCTTGGCATCCGGCATCTGAACCCAACACTCATCTTTATACTCCAGCTCAAGGGTTTAGGGTTTAGGGGTCTAGGGTTTAGAGTAAAATTCTCTCAAAAGCCAGTGCTCCTTTCAAATCTTCATGCTATCGTTCCCTTGGCTTGTCGAAGGTTACATTGCTGAGACTATTCTGAGGCATAGACATAATGTAACCGGAAGGTTCCAAACCCCTTTCTTCCTGAAGACCATAGTCCATCCACTTAAGGGAGGCTTTAAGCAGAAGTATGAGGCCATGGGCCTCAAGTGCTCTCCAGGCTGTAGAGCTTGCCTGCAGCTCAAGGCATGGCCTTTTGGGGGATGGGGGACATTTAGGGATCCGTTTCATTATAGGACTGCGATGTTTCAGGGTATGTATGGGGAACCCCAGGGATACCAAATACCCATTACGATGACCCAATTGTTGGTGCTGCTTGGGCATGGCATCCGCCAAAGCCTTCTCAAAAACAGCTCTCATGCTTTGTTGTTTCTCTCAGCGCTGGTATCATTCTATGTTGGGGTCCTTCAAACTTGCCAGGTGTTTTAGGATTGCCGGTTCAGTGTTCCAACTGTAACGCAATCTTAAGATTTTTCCCCCGCCAGTTCTTTGGACAGGGATCTCAAGCTCTGAGCATATCGCCATCAACCTGAAACCTCAAAAAGCCTCTACTATAGGGACCCTCAGTCAACAATTCCCAATGTCATCGTCAGATCTTCTTGAAGTACCCTATACCCTAACTATACAAGAGGACCCTCAAATAGATCCATACTCGAAATAATCGCAGTACTAGTAATCGTAGCAAGAATAACTAGTACTAATGCTAATTAATCAGGCCGCTACATCATATTCCCCTTCCAATAAATCCCAATAGAACCCATCATAATAATTTCCATTGTCTTTTCCATTATCCCTATATCTACTTAAGGGGGACTATAACCCCAATATATTCCCTATTCCTTATTCTTAAGCAGTCAACCTCCAGCCAGAGCCAAGGTTTCTGGCAAGGCCATACTATGGGATGTAGCTATGGAAGTTAAGTTAAGCTACCATGATATGGGTAAGGAATGTATAATGAATAGCAGGGTTCCTTAATAACAGTAGCTTAAGTCAAGATTCTTAGCAGCAGTGATTTGGGAGGACTCCTTCAGCCGGGTTTAGGATCGTTGCTCCCCATGCCATGCTTTGGGAGCAAGGGCGGCGGGATTGGAGGAGTGCGGGACTGTCTGCCCGTATGGTTGAGGAAGGAAAAGCTCAGACCTCAAACGCTACTTGCTGGAGTAGATGTCTGAATTACCGGCAACAATCTGAAGAGCTGCCCGTGTATGACAAACATGGGTTCCCCTCCTGCCCCCCGCCATACTGCCCACCCTAGGTTCCGCTCAATTAGCAATACTTAGCCCTACTATCCCTAAATAAGTTTTGGGGCCATAGAGGCACCCATGAAGAATTGATGCCCAATGAACCACAAAACGCACTCACCTTCCAGAGCGCTTGACCCTGCAAACCCTGACCCTTCAGCGCGAAATCCAAGCCAGCTAAGCCTTAAGCATCAAATACACCTTGAATGGCGCAGAAGAGCACAAGCTTGGTGCTCCCGCTGGAAAACTTTTGAAGCACATAATGTGGGGTATATGGGGGGATCTTATTATAATATACCCAAAGCCGTATTCTATCTGCTTGAGCGAAGCGGGACTGTAATCCATTCTCAAAGGACCCTCTAAGTGAAAGGCCCGAAAATCCAAAACAGGAACAGCGCCTGGCCGCAGAAACCAGCCAAAGATCGAATAGCGCGGAGTGCTGCCGGTCACCGGCTGGACGGCCTCGGCAGGGTAGGAGGCCCTTCCATGGACGGCATACTATAATCTATTATAGTATATTCTAGTATTATATTCTAGTATATTCAAATTATATTTAAATACATCATAATATCTTATAACAGAGTCGTATATGATAGTTTTACTAATGTTACAGCTCCAAGGTTTATGCGAGCAAACACCAGGACAGATCCAGTCAGCAGTAGCAAAATCCTGCTACTGTATCTGGGGCTGAGAGGGCGTAAGCTGCTTGACGGCTCAACTGCCAGGCACTGAAGCTTACGGCTATCTTACGGTATTTGGGTATTCGTTGGGGCCCCTGGCCTCTCTTCGGAAGTTTGAAATCGCATTTGGATAAAAAAGGGCGTGCCCCCACAGGGCATGTGGGCGGCCCCCGGAAGTTTGAACTTCATGGTAGGCCACGAAACTGGAGATTGTCAGATGTATTATTGCATGAATAATGTAGCAAGAGTTGGCCGCAAGTGGAGAGGGCTCTAAAGCTACCCTTGTATCCCTGAACTGACAGATGCATACTCTGTCCCATGCCAATCTGCCAGAGTCATACCTCGTAGTTGACTCCCTTGACTGAAGCTCAAAATTCTGAACTCTAAGTCGGGGCTTCTGTGCCTCAAGGCAAAAATGTGAAAGAATTAGAGACAAGGCTTAAAACGTTCGATATGTCGAACTCGGGAACCGCATGTTCACGTTTCGGTTCTCCTGTGTGAGACTACCAATTCCTAGGCCCTAACCCGGAACCCTCGTACAGTCCGTGTTCGGTCCTCTGCAACAACCTGCAACGTATTCCTTGTGTTGGATTCCTTAGAAAGCGATAGGAAACCGTAACACAAAATCTTGTTTGGCCTCGCGCATTGCTGTAGTTCGATGCTGCCAGACTCTTAGCGGATAAGGGTGGGTTTGGTAGATCCAGGTCGTGAACCCTCAAAATGTTGAGGACTGCTATGGGTCCAACGTAATCTCGAAACTGAGGATGGGTTACGGAATAATGTGCAGTGGATCATGAAATGCTCTTGCAACATAACCTTAATTCGAAATTCTGGTGGGGTTCTTCAAACTCTCACACGACACTCCCTACAACCCACCCTTAGGGACCATTCGTCCTCCTTTTGCGGTTTAAAACTTTAGGGTGGTCGGAAGGGACTCGCCATGGCTTGCTTCCACGACCGACCTCCCCTGCTGCAATAAAACTTCTGCTTCTGGGCAAGGAATGAATCAAGCAAGGTCTTGGGGTGCGGGGTTGGCGACTGAGATGGCCGCCTAGATGATAAGAATTTGGACTTTGGGCAAGTCTACAAAGTGACTTGGGTGGGATATGAAGGAGAGCGAGACTTCTGCTAGATCCTATATTATGGGGACACGTGGGCGCGTTGCAACAGGGATGATGACAATCGGCTGTAAAGATTCATGCTTCATTCATGTCCTTATTCCCTCCTTAGAGCAGAGAGACAAAAGATAATCTGCACATCTCGCAGCCTTTCAGTGAAGCTCCCCAGAACCCCAACCAAGAAAATCCTTTCTACTCCCTTGATTCATGCAGTAGTAGGGTTCATTTTGGGGGGCTTGCATTTGGGCTTTTGTCAAGGGGCCCGGGGAGCTCGGAACAGCCAAGAAACCGTCTCTAGAGCAGGAGGTGCGACTATCAGGCGCAAGTGATGGGCCACGAGGGGTGTAGAAGATGTTTTGGTGGTCCCACAATATTCAGGATTTCAAAAGCGCAGGCTCCAAAGAGCCAATGTGCTATTTTCTACTTTTATGTAAGGCTTGTCTACTCCGTATATGGTAGCTTCCATAGGTAGGGGGCCCAGCATAGATTCTTATACAATAGATTCTTATACACTCTCCCTCCGCATTTAAGACCCCCCAAAAGGGACTGCCAACTTTCGTAGACCCCCAGTCCCTAGAATCCCCTATCTACCTCCAGACTCCATTTCATGTTCAATTTTCTTTTCCATTTGATTCTCCAACGGGGGTGTAATGTCCCTAATTAGGGGCCCTAAACTCTAGACCCTAATCCCCATCTTCGTTATCCCTACACTGTAACCCCTATATATCCCTTATATACCCTTTAATCGACCCAATCCTTGTAGCCTAGATCTGGCCCATGCTCACTTCGTGCACTGCGGGTTGGCCGGAGCCCGCCAGAAGCATCTTTTGGCAGTTCTTCTGAAGACGCCACAGAAACACCTTCTGAGCGCCATTTCGCAAGCAGAATGTCTTAGCTTGGGGTCTACAGTGCTTAGGATTTAGGGCACAGGGGATAGCGGTGATTATATTAACGTTCGCGCATATGCCCAGAGTACCATCATTACTGGGCGGGGGGGGCCCAACCTAAAGAACATCGGCATGGCTTCAAGAATCTAGAAAGTGAATGTGAGGATGGTAATCATTGAGGTAAGGTTTGGCGCATGTGTAAGATCCAGGGGTCCTTGGCGAAAGTAAACAGCCAAAGCCACACATAACGCCCACATCAACCCCATAAAATGAAAAGCCTGCACGATTGGAATAAATATAAGATACTTGCAAGAGGACCGTGTGGAAATAACAAAGCTACTCTCTCTCTCTCTCTCCCTCTCTCATGTTCTACACCCTCTGGGGATTCCCAAAGAAATGGCGACCCAATACCTTCCTAATCCCTTCACAGGCAACCTCAAAAGGAACCCCATTTTTGAAAACCTTGTTTTGCTCTATCTCCCTATCATATCCTTCTTTACCCTACATAAACTAAGGACATCCCTATATATCCCATATATACCCCAGCAAAACCGTTCACACGTGTACATAGGCATATACGCACACATATACACGTGGTAATTTCCCCAAAACAGGGACCCAATATAGACTCTCCAAAATACTACCATCCTTATTATGGGGACCCCAAATAAGCCTGAACCCTAAACCCCAAATGCCCTAATTTTGGGGCACCCCCATATCTATCCCAAGGCACTATGGTCAGGACCCAGCTTGGCAGGACAGAGGCCACGTACAGCGCCGTTGCGCTAACCTGGGCGATATTTATGAAATATTCCCAATTGTGATATATTTAGTATATTGGGAATATTGAATATTAGGGGGAGGTGGGTGGGTTTAATCTTAGGGGGAAGGGATTAAGGGTTTAGGGGGTTTAGGGCGAATAGGGCTTGGATAGGGTCAGTCCCCTAGTTTGTCCCCGTTTATTCTGAGCCTACTACAACTCCGATTGCCCATTGTGATAGCTGCTCTGGTAAGCAGGAATGATGGTTTATAGTCCCCATTAAGTAGACAGAATACGGCTTTGGGTATATTATAATAAGATCCCCATATATGCCATAAGCCAGGGGTCGTTGCAAAAATCAGGGTCCCCTCTTAAACGGCCCAAGAAAAGAATTATGGTATTCAAATGGAGGGTAAATGTGCGGGACCGAAATTAGAAACACCCACGCCCACTCCGCATGACAAGTGGTTCAGTGTTCTTCTGCTGTCCCTAAGCAACGATTTCTCAAGAATTTGCCAACACGTGACCCAAACAATTTCAGTCCAAGCATTCTGTCCCAAAGGCTCTGCCCCAGCCTGGACATGGCATTCTCAAATCGTCAGCTGGATTTTGGGGGTGGCCTTTTCCCTAGCATTCCTAGTGTTTAGGTGGTTCATTCATTTTTTCATTCATTCATTCATTCATTCTGAGAACCCTTGTTTCTGCTGACTCCACAGGATGCCGCCAGCCCCTAGCGCACGCTCATGTGATCGGATGCAAGGAAGTAGAAGCAGCTACCGCAGACTGTTCTTTTCCTACAGGAAAAGATCATGCACATCCTTGTTGTTACTGAGCCCTATGATGCTACTTCCATCTTAGCAGGTTTGACAAGCAACCAGAAGGAATAGAAGAGAACCTGCCTCCTCGCCTTGGGTCGTCGAATCGCTGAAGCCGGCACCCATCACTTGGCGAGCTCGCATGCTCGTTTTGAGCTTGAGGCATATAGTTGATTGAAATGCTCTAGTGGCCTACCGCCCATTAGACTTCCTTAGCCCTTGCCTGAACCACATTGGCTGTGATACGTACAGATTGTCTCCAGAGATCAGATCCCCCAGTTAAACTCCGCTCAGGGGCGAAGATAAAGCGTGCGATGAGCACCACGGGGAGGAACACGGCAGCAAAAACCAGGGTGGCCGCTTTAGCCATGAACTTGAAGTCCTTCACAGCACGCCCAGAAAATAGTTGCCAGGATTCTATCAGATCTGTACAACATTTTGCACGAAAAGCAGGAGCTACTCTTCAGGCCCTCATCAGCTTTTCTGGTGACAGGAGCGGTTCTATGAGCTTATCAAAACTTTCTGATGGAACTGTAGAAGCGCCGCTATGTCGAGAGCCTTGGGCAGGCTGTGTCTGATACCATCCATAGACCCAAGAAACTTTGTGCGACTCCGCATTACATCTTCGAAAACAAGTACAATTTTGACTGCTTCTTTGGCCTGAAACACTATCTCAAAGAACATATAAATCTGCACTACCCCGATGCTTTGCAAACAACACAGTCCTGGCAGGCGTACAGCCCTGCCTTCGCTACGCTGAAGATGCAGGTCACCTTGGCTAAAACTGGTTGGCCACATCACGTGAACCTTCTTGACCCGCCCAACGAACAGGCTGCAAGTATGGGTCGGGATTCTGTTGGGAGGTGCATACTGCACTCTCATCTTGAGAAATTTCCTCGTAGTAGGGCTGTGTGTTTGATTCAGCTCTTCTAGGGCAGTGTGGGGCAAGACTTGGCCTTTCTTTCGACACCCTTCTTGCTAAGCCTGCTGCTACCTACGGATGCTGCCCAAAAAACTAGGACCAAATAGGAACTGTGGTCGTCGTTGAGGTCACCCCGCAGTGGAAGCAGTGGCATATGGCAGGTCGTCCACGACGTCATTGTATTACTGGCTTAGCAGCAGTAGCAGCAGTAGTAGCAGCAGCAGCAGCAGTAGTAGTAGTAGTAGTAGCAGTAGTAGTAGCAGTAGCAGGAGGAGACAAGGAGCAGCTGCAAAAACCTAGTAGCACAAAACCACATAACACTAGCTCAATCACTAGAATTCTGAGACAAACCACAAAAGCCCGATGTTTTCCATTCTCGAAGGTGACAGGGCGTTCATTGTATACTTTGGCAGTATTTGGCACATCCTGTGTAGCAGGCTTCATCACTACCTGGTCCCAGGTCCACAAGAAGCTAAGAACTCACAGGTTGGAGTCTACTTCAACTAAGTCAGAAGTCCTACAGACCCAACACCCGCCTAAACCCAAAGGGTACAGACAAAGACCTGGTCCAGTTGCAAAGACTGTCAAGCCGAACGCCCGGAAGGTGTCAAAGACTGTGCTGTCATACCTTCCCAGGCCCCGGACCCCTTCAAGTATGTGCGCATTGGCCCCCACAGAATTAGGACCTGGCTGATGGATAGAATGAGCAGGGTCACTCCCTTACCTTCCCAGCACTTGAAGGCCTGGAGGTTCCTGCTTGAGAGTTTGGCTTGGCGGTTCAGGGCCCGTCCCTGAACCTCAGCACTGAAATGCTGGTGCCTGCCCAAACCTCTGGCGAAGAGGCCCTCGTAGATGCCCAGGCACTCGTGTGTGTTAGCAAACACACAAGCCTCCAAGGTTGGTTTAGCATGTTGGGCTTAAGCTTTGACTTAACCTTGGAGTGCCGGTCTCGGGACTTTGTGCGGCTTGACAACTTCAATGAGCTTGTGATGTTGAAGGGGCCTGAAGACCCTTAATGCTGCTGGCGACTGAAGCTTCAGAAGGCACGTATAGGTTGAAGTTGAAGGTTTGAGCGTCAAGGCTGCAATGCTTGAATCCGGTGTGGAGATTCCTCGTTTTCAGAACCGACAAAATTGGTTCGTTGTCAGCGGATTCCCTGCATGTCAGCTGCAGCTTGTGTGCCTGCGCCCATCCCAGAATGAGGAAATCCTAGATCTGAGCCATTCTTAGCAAACGGAAGAGAAAGGGTCCCCGACCTAAAGCATCGTGCCATTTGTCACACAGTTGTGCAGTTGCGTGAGGCAATGGCCGCAAGTGCAACCTAGTTCAGAATTCAGCACGGCATGCCGCCAAATGTCCTGGCATCTCGACAGTCTGGTCCAAATGCAGTCCCACAATAATCAGTATTTCAAAGCAGGGCCCACAATCTTGCGCGGAATGATCTGTTCCGCTGAACCCGGCCCTAACAACCCTCCGTATGACATTCCCAAGGTGGACCCACCTCTCTCTTTTTCTCTCTCCTTCCTCTTCCGTCTTTTTTTGTCATTCAGATTGGACCTATCAATCTGAAAAAGCTTCAGGTCTGCCTGCTGCGAGTAGTAAGCCGCCAGTTGCGTAAGGTTCGGCAAGATAAAGAGCCTTGCCATACGACAACACATTGGACATTACAGGGTTCTAGGGATCTGGTCATGTCCTTAAGTAGGGCAAACGCAACAAACGAACAAACGATCAATAAACCCCAATCCTTACTGTAGGTAGGTACCTTCCAAAGAGGCCATTACTTCATGGCAACCCCATACGTAGGCATTTGCAAACACATTTAAGAATACATAGATTCGAGGAGCTTGCTAATGATGAACACGGGGGTCTCCAGAAGTGGGGCGCGATCAAATGGGAAAGATGATGGAAAGTGAAACGGGAAGTGTTTTTTGATCTAGTACTGCCTGTTTGGGCAAGTTCAAAACTACGCGCAAGACTTGCGCAAGCTTAAACACGTGAGTAATGTTTTGTTGGTGGTTGAACCTAGTAAGATAATATTCCTTATATGAAATACTATACCCAAAAGGAGGATATAATCATACTCTATATTGGGTACCATAGTATCGCCAAGTAAAATACTACTCACGTGGGCTTGCAGCTTACGCGGCATTTGTTCCAACAACGAATCAACGACACGCACGCCACGCGGACTGTTGCGAAACAACCTTTGACGGGACGAAAGCTGGAGACCTATCCCGGCCGCTTCCCACAATACAAACTCAGCCAAATGCCTTCAAGACGTGGCTTTAGCAGCCCCCCACGCAAACCTACGCAACATCTGGGCGCAACATCATCGTCCGCGAGCTTACGCAACGCTTACCCACACAGGGGAAAAACCTACGCGGACCTTGGTCTGTGATACTTTGATATAGGCTCCCACATAATAGCATTGTGTAGCATTAGTTAATGCTGCTCAAGTGGAAACTGGGACTATTTGTTGGTCTATAAGGTTTAAAGCTGCAGCAAATATGTGGTTGCCTGGGGGTTCCTATAACACTTAATATAAGGATGACAGCATGGAAATCCCCACGCTGCATCGTCCTTGCTGAAAGGCCTTCTCAAACCTGTGTACCTTAAGATTACCCTTCAAGAAAACCTAAAGAGAATCGTGCTCTCTCAGAGCTAGCGGAAGCTGGGAACTTGACCAACGTCCAGATAGCAGGATGCACCACCCACAAACGATCACAAGCAAACAAAGTTGCAGTGGGTATACAGGGTGCTCTTGCCATGGTCATGTCAGGTAGACCTTGGGTTTTCCCCCTTACAGTAACTGTTACCACAATGGGTTACAGGAGTTATAATGGCCCCTTAATAAGGCCCCGTTTAAGGACCGTTACTGGGTGGGGGAATGACCCAAGGTAGACCGCTAAATGGTGGTTACAAGAACCACCTTGGAAACTCATGCGCAAGACAAAACCCTAAGCTGCAACCTCTCAAACGCAGTGAACCTCACAAGTGGTTGTAACAAAACTTATTCTTTCCATGCACACTAAGAGCCCCAAAACTGTGCTCAAGCCACGCAAGAACATGACTGCGATGGGAAAATCATTTATTTGACATTTCAACACTTCCAAGCAGCTTGCGACCTGGCTTAGGGTTTACAACATTGACACCCCCACGTGTTCCCACAGAACATATCTGAACATCGGAAGCCAAAAACCCACGAAAAAAATGAACGAGGCAAACGGACTCAAGCGTTGCTACGGGAAGCCTCACGCTCTTCAAATCCTGCTTCCGCGGAGCGCGGAAATGGCGCCAAGAACGATGCTAATCCCAACCATGACCTCCAGTATTCAAGCAACAGCAATGGTAGTGTCCCAAATTAGGGGGGGACCCCAATATGAACCCTCAGATACTAGATTATAGAAACCCCCAAAGAGATACCCCTAATTTTGGGAACTACCAAAATTGACAATGAGCTCTGTTTGTGCTCCGGAGCTTGCGTCTCTCTCTACTTACTTGTGACAGCTACAACGGTGCGATTAGGGGCACTTGCTCACATGGCCTGGTGCATGTTGGGTCGAGTTGAGGGCCGGGGTTCTTGACTTTGTGTAGGTCAAGGGAAGGGAGCCATCTCTTTCCGCCCTTCTATTCAAAGGTCGCATGGATGACTGAATCCACCTAATGCTCTACTGCTGGCTGACAGGCTTGGGCTTGTCTGCGCAGCGGCCCTTCATCAATCAAAGCTCCAGCAAGAGCCCAGCTCAGCTTGCCTGCCTGGTCTCTTGTGTAAACAAAATGTGCTGATACGTGCATCACTACATGGCCTTCAGGTCTATCGTTTTTTTGGCTCTGCGAGGCAGACGCGCTGTAGATACAGGCAGCCTTGCAATGTAGAATTGCTACGCTCAAGACGCCTGCCCTTCTGGGATTTCCAAAAGTTCGGAGGGAAGCCCCCACAATAGGATCATGATATATTTTGGGTCAAACCTTGTTACAATAGAGGAATGTCGTGTTCGGCGGTTTGAAGCGCGGATTTCAATTCTAGACGAACTACCCACCTTCATCAGGAGCGCGAACTGAACGTAGGCTCGCCGCCCGATCAGCGCAGGCCCCACAAGCTTCACCACATATCCTTTTTTCATCTAGGGCTCAGGGGTTGCAATTTAGCGCTTAAGGTCTATGGCTTCGAGCTTGGGATTGATGATTTAGGGCTTGGGATTTGGAGTCTGGGTTTTAGTGCGTAGGATTTCAGGTCTAGGGTTTAGGATTTAGAGCTTATAAAATGCATTTGATGGAGGAAATCTTGCGCAATCTGCAGTAGGGTCCCTGAGTTGCAGTTCTTCGAGGACTGTTGACGTCTAGGTCTAGTTGGCGCGGGATCTCTTTCATCAAAAAAAGTCGAGCCAGGTTTGAGGAGTCAGAACAGGATGCTGCGGAGCCTCTATTCTAATGGTACTTAGTACTTGTCCCATGGATCTTGTTCTATGATTCCAGTGTGCTGGTTTCTAGTCAGGCTAACTCAGGAATCAAAACATAAGCAACGAAGCAACTACGATTCCTGTAGACGTGAACCGTCCCTGTCTAACCGTGCTGGGGTAGACCTGCCCACCCCACACACTTTGTGACCTGGATTTGGGTCAAGGGGCGTTGCTCTGCTCATACCCCACATCCTTGTGACTTGATCTGGGATCTTGGACACGGCGCTGGCCACCATATCCATACTATATGCCCAAAAATCGATCAGGTACCATATGTACATATATAGATATACTGATGAAGCCACACCTCCTGGCTTGAAGGTTGGTATGTCTGTATGAACCGCTTGTTCCATCGTGCTTTCTGCTTCTTTGGGAAGATTTTGCCCTCAAAACCATCCTGTTCAGGAGCTGAATACACGCGGATAGATTGAAATCTTACAAGCCCAGAAAGGTCGCAAGTCAAAAACCTGAAGCTCTGCTGCCAGTCACCTTCGATCCTTCAAACAGACAGCCTACCCCTCCGAAACCTGGGAAGAACACAAGCCATCGACTGCCCAAGCGTCCTAAGGCTGTGGCATAGGCCGTAAACCTCAGGTTCTGGAGGCAACGTAGTGCAAGCTCTTGGGGTTTTGGACTCAGATTTGAGGGTGTAGTGTGGGAGGTGGTGGGGAGTTGGCTTCCAGGATGACGGCACAGAAACTGTGAGAGAGAATGACACCATGGACAGTTTGGGCCGGGAAGATATGGGCACGGATGAAAAACCAGATGCGCATACATACCCAGACCGCAGGTTGCTTCATTACTGATAGGACCCCATCATCTCTCCAAGGCTACAGCCAGAAATCACAGGCTTGCTGCAGGCATTCTGCACATCAATTCCACGCTGGAATGGTGCCGTCGAGTTTCTGAGGCAGAGCCGCAGAAGCAGCACTCAGTTGATACATATCCTCTGTCATGCACCAGCGAATGTCTCAGAAGTGTGATGCCCTTAAACAACCCAGCCCCATACAGGCGACCCGGAAGTTTGAGAGCAATTGCCCCCAAAAAAACCGCCTGTCAGGACTCCACGTCTCACTCGCCAAGCTTTTACTCTCCTTGCTCTCTTCCCATATCCTGTCCTGGATGCTCACAAAGGCCGCGATGTAGATGCAGGCGGTGCCTTAACTGCTGGCCCAGCTCTCAAAAAGGATGTCTGTAAGGAGGTCTACCAGCAGAAGTGGGACCATCCACTTGACAAGGACCCCAACGAAGAGGGACACATAAGTTCCCGACAAAATGCGCCCAGAGTACAAATCCATGGCATCAAACATCCACCCCGCAAACTCAAGGCCTTTTCGTTTTCAAGTCCTTCTCTCGGCTGTTGCCTCAATGCCGTCAAAGAAGAGAATACCGAAGGTCAGGAAGAAAGCAGCGATGACATCCCAATTCCTCGTGGCCTGTTGCTATTCAGAACCCCAAGCTACATTCCAGACAAGCTTTCCTGTTGCTTTCAAGGTTCCTGCGGCTTGAAGCAGGAGATCCAGTATCCTGGGCTCATGGAAAATCGTTTGCGGAATGTTCGCTCAGGATTTCCCGATTCAACTTGCAGAAACAACCGCTCGCAAGGAATCATCTACTCCTACGGCTGGCGCAAGGTGATTTAGGTACGGTCTTCCCACGCCTCCAACAGCGTTGCGTCCCTTGCGGCTTCGTGTTACGTAGCCGACGCTTCAATCTCCAGACCAGGAATTGGCCAATGCTGGAAACGTGTCGCACTGAGAATGGCCTGCGAACTAAGTAGGGCTAATATGTGGGCTTTCCCGGGGGTTTCCAAATGCAGTCATTGGAAACCTCCCCAAAATCCAGTGTTGCACGCACGTTTGAAATCAAAAGCAATGACGACCCCGTCTCCACCGGAAATGCGGCAATTTCTTGACACACATGCGATACTGGCTCGCAACCTCACAAATCCATCGACCCCTTCCTAGACGGAAACATGCGTGCAACACCATGGCAGTGCCAAAACCCCGAAAGAGTTACGGGATGTAGGCTTTCACGCCATGCGGGCACACCAAGGAAAAAAGTGCTAGACACCCTGCAGGTCTGATCCTCAAGCCTAAATCTTCAAGCCGAAGGCCTCTAAAGCTCTTTGTCCAGAATCTCTACACCTCCCACTTCCCCAATTGCTCCCGCATGTTTCTCCAGGGCGCATAGCCAGCACTCCATCCACCACAGCCTCCTTGTGGGTCGCGGAGCTTCCCAGAAGCTGGTCCTCACCGCTGGCCAACCTGGAAAATTCCGATTTTGTAGATGTTCAAAATTCATGCCCCCCAAAATTATGGCCAAAAGGTTTCCAATGGTCTCTTCTACCCAGGGATTTTACCTTAGAACAACGCTCATTTGGGATTTGGGGTTCCGCCTCAATGCCCTGAGGCTAGATACTACCTCTCGGAACCCAATGTGCTGGGCCATGTCCAATTTCAAGGGTGTCTGAACCCTTGCATAGTCGAAGTATAGCATGGTCCAAGCGTCTGGGTTGCATGTTTGAGGGAGCGTTGAAAACTCTCAGGTCCTTTGACAAGTTGACGCCAAACCATCTTTATTGCAAAGGCTTTGATCCTTAAGAATAGGGTTGAGTTTAGGGGTACAATGATCCTATAGCACGACAACGGTCTTAAGCAGAGAATAAGAAGAAAAAGCTGGTAATTATTCAGGCTTCTACACCAGACCTGAAGGCCTTCAAGGGGCTGCGAGCACGAAATCATTGATTCATACTATGCCATGAAACTCTTCCTAGCCCCATAATGGTTGGATAGTATGCGGATCCAAAAAAGCGTGAAGATCCTGATCCTACCAGAAACACGTGAAGAGAGCCATGCTTGTCTGCAGCCAGTCACTGCGGACCTCGCAACATCAAACCGTATTTTCTCCGGAGTGGTCCTCGGGAACGGTGAAGCGTTCAGGATGCAAAAGCTGAAAAACAAAGGAGACTGTGTTACTTCCCGAGGTTTGAGAGGGCTCGAAGAGTACTATGAATATCAATTTTGCTATTGCTACTATTACTACTAGCACTCTACTATTACTATCATTGCTACTATTACTATTATTCCTACTGGGACTATACTACTACTATCATTATTACTATCATTATGGCTGTTACTAACTTTACTACTTTGACTATTGCTATTTCTGCGGAGTAAAGGGTAGGACGGCAGGTTCCCTTGAAGCAAGGCTGAGGAGAAAAAATGCAGAATTGCGCTTGGGGCATAGTAGTAGTAATAGTAATGTTAATTCATAGTAATAATGATCTATACATAGTATGGTATAGTTCAGTATAGTATAGTATGAGTACAGCATAGTAAAGCAGAGATCCTGCCGCCCTACCCTTTCTTCCGCAGTAACAGTAATAGTTATAGTAGCAATCATATTCGTAACCATGAAAGTATAATAGTAATAGTGATACTGATAGTAGTATGGTAATAATGATCAAAATCCTTGGAGGCTGCAAACTTAAGGTTTCATGGTGCAGTGACGTTTTGCCATGGGAGGATCCTTTTACAGGCTGCTCCTGTTATACTGGACCATATAGGTATGATGTAGGATGTATCGGCGACATACGCTATGAAAACCCGCGCCTCTAGTTAAGGCTGCCATTTTTGGAGACAAAGCTTGGAGCACAATGACCATGGAGACTTGGCATCGCACTCCCTTCAAACCAGAGTATGACTGCACCCAGCTATCACTGATAGGGTTGTTGAAATTGGCAACAGCTTCAGCACATAGACCAATGTTCACCTCTACATGTTGGCAGAGCAAGAGCATCCTAGCAGCCAACGACCTCAAGATCTCAAAGCCAACGTGAAAAAGACAGAACAAAAGTCACCTGATGCAAATAGCATTGCCACTTTGAACAAATGCAACAAGGATTATTTGGTTCTGACCTTCTCTGGAGCTAATTGCGTCTTCACCCACGCCCTTCAGTGCAGATACACTTTGCGACCAGTGCTCGGTTCAGGACAACCGCCAGGGCCATGACAGCCACCAGCACCTGTCTTCAGGAAGCTTTCGGGAAATTTCTCGTAGAATGCTACAACTATTTCTCTCAGCTGCGCGCGCTGCGCGCGCGGCCTCCTAGAATTCAGAACTGCAGGCACCCTCAGGTTTAGGGTTTAGGGTTTAGGGTTCAGGGTTTAGGGTTCGGAGCTTGAATCCCCAATCATGGCCACAAGGCACCCTCTGCATGGGAAGGTGTCGCACAAGCTCATCAAGAGAATCACCATCAATACTCTGGTAGTTTGCCTGAATAAGGGGACCCTATATATAGACCCATACATTCTAGTCCTTCGTATGGGGACCCCAAAAAGGTACCCCTAATGCAGAAACCCACATATCCCTGAGACCTCACAGTAAATGAATGTAATGGAAGCAAAAACCCTAAATCCTAAACCCTAAATAGTAGTTACCATTTCCATTATCCCTATATAACCCCAAACCCTGATAATCCCACCAATGTCAGGAATTCAAGGCACAACGTTTGCGGCGAAGCCCGCAAAGCCGAGCCTCAGGATGGTATAGGGATAGGGGTTTCGGGCCTAGGGCCTAGGGCCTAGGGTTTAGGGTTTAGGGTTTAGGGCTTCGGACTTAGGGCTTAGGGTTTAGGGCTTAAGGTCTGGGCTTTGGGGTGCAGGGCTTCAAGCTGGGGAAACGAAAAGAGGACACCGTTTATATGGCCTAGTATTTCAGTCCTTACTATAAGATCCAATCGTGGTTCGGGCAAACCCCCCACGTTACTGCATGGAAATAATATTGGCAATCTTCCCGAATTCATGCCAGGGAGGGTGTTGCCCAGTTTGGATTGCACGCTCGTCTAGGAAGACCATTATGCCAAACGAAGCTCAACAAACTGGTTGAAACGTAACCCTGAACAGCTACTCCACAGGGTGGTGGCCGTGAGAAGCTGTTGTCAGGATGATACTCCAAGTTGCTGAAGGGCTCGAAGCTTCAGGAAAGTTTCTGAGCAGCAAAGACAGCCGTGAACTTCCCAGATCCAGCACCGTAAGCCTAAGCCAATGTTTTGAAACGATATGCATCTCAGAGTCTCAGTGTGCCCTCCACCAGCGCCCTCAACGCCTTCATGTAATCCCTAGGCACCTACACTGTAAACTCCTGAACAATCAAACCCTCTACCGGTAGAACCTAACATCGAGGCCTCCGTAAAGAACTCCAACCTCTCCCTACACACTGAAGCCCCAACCCCTAGGCTAAACCTTCAGGGTCCAGGAGCAGAGGCAGGTCCTGTGGCTTCGGCCCGAAGAACCACGTCCTCGGCTGACATCTAGAAAAATGTAAAGGATTGGATTGAGGGTTTAAGGCTTAGGAATAAGGGTATGGGGGGTTAAGGGCTTAGGGATTAGGGCTTTAGGCATTGGGTTTAGGGTGCACAGCTTCACTTTTCACGGCTTAAGGGTTATTTAGGATTTAAGACATGGGTTGGGATGGACCACCAGGTGCAGGGCACGTGAGGACAAAGTGTCTCACTGTGGGATCCCGGAAAAACCTTTCCGCACCGCAAGCACGAAATGGGGACACAAGCAAGAATCAAAAGTGAAATGCATCATCCTGAATCGTAAGCCACTACAGTAACCTCCAAATCCCCTAACCCCTAACTAACCCCTACCCTGATCTTCCAAAATCCTACTTTGCGAAACAAAAAATCCATACCAAGCCCTACACCTCACCATGAGGTAAGATTCCTTGAGCCCTAACCCTATAGGGTTTAGGGCTTCGGGCTTAAGGGTTTAGGGTTTAGGGCTTAGGGTGTTAAACCTTAGAAATCTCTACGCGCCTGACCCACAAAAAACAGAACACGCATTCCTCGTCCCCCTTATCCTTAAATGTCGAATCACCAGCCCCAACTCCCCACTCAACCAACCCTCAATGCAATCAGCCTCTAAACCCTAAACAGCCCAAAAGCCAGAAATTCACGTGACCCCTGGTTTTCATTATGGTCTCGGAAGTTGCACACCCAATCTATAAATCAGGAACCCGTAGACACGCAGCTAATTACACAAAAAAAGCCCCTGGCTCATTGAAGACAGGCCACCCAGCCAGGGTCATCTGGCAAAGGATGTTCGCCAAGCCGAACAACGCAAACTCCCGGGCACCCATCAGAAGCCCAGTCAGCACCATGGCAACAAACCTCAGCTTCAGGTTTCTCATGGGTGTCTCTTTTAAGGCTAGCTAAGGTTAATTCAGGGGCGGAAGTATACGAGGGCATTCAGGAGAACCTATGAGTGGTTTCAGGTTTGGGGAGTAGGGTAGTGGGGCCCATGGCTACAAACCAAAGCTTTCAAGGCTTCTCATGGGTTCCCCCTCTACACGCCGGTCCCCAGGCTCCCCCTGAATTAGACCTATTTGTTCAATGAAGCTACGCAGGGGGTCATAATGGAAAAGAAAACGGAAACTGCAGGGATTATAGGGCATATGTCGGGGTGAGTGAAATAGGGTGTGGCTATGCGAGTCCTATGGGGAGGCCCGTGAGCTCTCTCAAGCCAAGCAACTGGTTGTAGTCTAGACCTATCTGATGAGGGCGTTTGTCATCTCGAACGTGCAGATCCTTATGCCTGCATAACCACTAAACGCTAAACCCGACAGTAGACCCCCGCGACTAAGCTATCCTAAGCCCAAAACCTGAGGCCTTAAGGGCATATTTCTAACCATGTGATTCTACTACATGGTCGACTGGAAGGTGTCAGGGCTAACATGTTCGAACAGACATTCCAACCTTTCAGGCGGATATCGAATTCGAAAACCGGGAAGCTGGAACGGCCATGACCAACTCGTGAGTAGCCACAGCCCTCTCGCTGTAGCAACCACCTGTTGTGTCACGTGCTCATGGACTTTGATGCCGAACAGTCCTCTATTCACGAATTTAGAAGAAGCAGGAAGCAGGGAATCGAGGCTAAAAAGACGCATGTAAAATGACCGAAGTATGCAGGATCTAAACGGATCAAGGGAGGTTCCAGGTGATAAAACCAGCTCAGAATGAGATAAACAGCACCAAAGCCGATGCGTACGGACGAAAACCAAACTCCATGACGGATGTAGCGAATGCGATGGTTTATGTGCTCTTGGTTTTTCCCCATGGCGTTTAGCTTCGGGCTTGAGAATCCGGCATTGTGGCTCTAGGATCCTAGGCTGACTTAGGGCTTGCAGGGCCAGATGCCTCCGTGGCTGACGGCAGCAAATGACAGCCCGGATTTTCCCGCTGAGCCTCAGATACTGCTCCGCATGGTTCCCTTACCACCACCCCTAGACCACCCTCTTGGGTTCCTCTTTCAAATGGAATTGGCTTAGCAAACTAAGAGGGAACCTACCGAGGGGGTTAGTATGGGGGGCCGGTAAGCGAACCCATGCACTCCTTGATCTGTCCCCGACACGGGCTACGGCCCTATGTGAATCTGGACTTGATAACGGCCAGGCCTCCGAAAAATCCCGAACCCCAAATTTACCACAAGAATATGACACAGTGGTTGCCCTTGGTCCCAAAGAGCCCCTAACCCTCTCGGCACATTACAGTGTAAGACATCCTGGGTCTGGCCTACCCTCGGTGTGTTTTGAGAAACTCTGACCTTTGTTGTTTTCCAGATTTTCTGGTGATGCCTCAAAGTACTGCAATCTGGCCTCAAGAAGTCGAACCTCTGGGGACAGCTGAAGGTTTGAAGATGGGACACCTCCAAGATTGAAGACACACTACTGGGTTGAATGGAAATGCTCTTGGGTCAAGGGCCAATGTTTACCCTATTGGAAGCCGAAACGGAAAGACCACTGCGAGCACTCAGGGAAGTCTGTTGATTTGAGGCTTCCGTGAGCAAGCTGAAATCCTGGATTGAAAGCATAGTACCTATCAATGCTTCCTCCCAGCATCCCCCAGAGATCGCGCCACCCAAACTCCCTTTTGCCAGAGGAGCTTGCGACGAACCTGGCGCTAAGAGCACCTCTATGGCAGTGGGCCAGTAGGCCAGCAGGGTCATCCTAGGCATCAGGTGCTCTGCGCAGGCTTAGGGGCTTCAATAGTATAGCCCCAATGTATACCCTATTATCATCTATTAGACTCCATTTCCTTTCCATTATCCCTATATAACCCGGTATATTATTGAGGAAATTTTGGGATTTTGGAAAGAAAATGGAAGCTACAGGGATTACAGGGGATGATAGAGGGGTTATCTTGAGGATTATATAGGGATAATGGAACAGGAAATGGAATCTACTATACTATAATGGTTTGGGCTTAGTTTAGGTCATTTCGCCCTACAGTGCCTGACCTTAAAGGGTTTATGGCAACTCCTCTCACCTACTGCACCACCTGCCACTGAGGGACCGTTTGCTATTTCAAGCTGATGGTTGAGAGGCTCAGAAGCTGAGTCAAGGCTGACCCCTAAACCCTATAGTCCCCCTTAAGTAGCTAGAATATGGCTTTGGGTATATTATAATAAGGTTTAAGGTCTAGGGTTTAGGGTTTAGGGTTTACGTAGGGCAATATTCCATATTCTATCTACTTCAGGGGGACTATAAACCCAGTAATTCGGGGCCTCCCACAGACTGGGACTGTGCCCCGTGGCCTCCAGGCTTCACTTAGCTTCACGTGCATGTCATCTGTGACATGAGCCCTGGACTAAATCTAGTATATCCCTCAATAGGTCCCCCCCCAACACCCTATATAGTCCCGTATAGGTCCCCAACAACCAAAATTAGTCCGTAGCTCACATGGCTGAGCGAACAGCCCCAGGGCGAACGAAACCGGGACCAACACGATCGTCCCATACTGGGGCTGGAAAATACGAAGGGGTACACTGGGAAATCCTAGAGGCACATAGGACCCTCAGGACATTACGAAGGTCTCCCTTCCGGATTATGCACGCATTTTGCTGAGAAACTCCCTCATACAGAAGCCCCCCTGATGGGAAGAAGGAACCGAGCCTTCCCTGAACTCTGTTCGAATAATTCACTTTTGGTAACACTGACAACACTCAGGACCCTATAGGGGTCATAGTTATAGGGTCACACACAGAGGGTCCTCATTCTGGGGGCACCCTAAACCCTAAACCCTAAAATCCTAAACCCTAAAACCCTGAACCCTAAACCTAAAACCCTAAAACCCTAAAACCCTGAATCCTAAAACCCTGAATCCTAAAACCCTAACCCTATAACCCTAAAACCCTACACCCCTAAACCCCTAAACCCAAGATCCCCTACACTCCGCGCCAGGCGTCAGCGCTGCGCCTACGACCCCACAGGCCAGTCCGCCGAGCCTTTGGCTATAGTCCCCCTTAGGGTTTAGGGTTTAGGGTTTAGGGTTTAGACGGGGCTTATGATTTGCATTATACAGGAATAATGGAAAAGAAAATGGAAGCTACTATATTATAATAGGTTAGATATTGGGGTGATATATTGGAAGGGACTGAATTCAAGAGTTAAAAAAAGATTAACTCAAGAGTTAATCTTGTGCGGCTGTAAGCTTCGAAGACCCTGGCCTGGTTTTGTATTAACTCTGAAGTTAATTCCTCTGCGCACCTCCCGCAAAAAAACATATGTCACAAAAGAATTAACTCTGGATTCAATTCTTTCAAATTTGACTTTACAGACACTTCGAGCCGATTCCAAACCTGTGAGCAGGACATATGGTCAAAGCAGCAGTAGAAGCAAAACGAGGCATGGCAATTCCAACAATGGGCAAGATTCTCGATTCCATTGGATTCATGAAGGCTTGGCCGCAAAAGAATTAACTCTGGATGTAATTCTTTTCGGGCTGTGCCTAGAAGAGTAGCAGTGTCACAAAAAGAATTAAATCGAGATGTAATTCTTTTCAGTTCCGGCTCCCGTACTGGTAATGCCACAAAAAGAATTAACTCTGGATTTAATTATTTTTGGCTTGGTTTCCAAAGGACAAACAATGCCAACGTGACTTTCTGTAAACCCCAATTTGTTATTCCAAGAGTACTGCGACCCTCCCAGGAATTCCAAGGTAGGGTTAAGGCTAGGGTGTGGGTAGGTCTAAACCCTACAAATCGGTCAAATCCCTAGCCGGCCTCCTAACTAAACCTGGGAGAACCCTAGCCGACAACCCCCCAAGAACCCTAACCCTTGCCCCCCACAAGGTCAGTTGGATTGCGCACGTCTGACACCTCTAGGATGCTCGTCCAGAGGCCAGGAGAACCTGAAACCTTTAGGGTTTATGTCCAGAGGCTAGGAGCACCTGCAGCATGTAGGGTTTTCGTCCAAATGCTAGGAGAACCTGAAACCTCAAGAAAAAGAATTAACTCTGGATTTAATACTTCCTCAAGTGGTTTCTCGTCCAGAGGCTGGGAGAATTTGACATCTTCAGGATTTTGGTCTGGAGGCTAGGAGAACCTGAAACCTCAAGAAAAAGAATTAACTCTAGATTTATTTCCTCGTCAATGGGATTCTAGCAGAATCTGACACCTCTAGGATGCTCGTCCAGAGGCTAAGGGACCTAAGGGAACCTGGGCCTGGGCCCAGTGGCCTGAAACCTCAAGAAAAAGAATTAACTCTGGATTTAATTCCTGCTTAACTGATTTCTCGTCCAAAGGCTAGGAGAAGGAGAACCTGAAGCTTCTAGTGGGGAACCTTAGGAGGAGAATTTAAATCCAGAGTTAATCCGAAGGGAACCTGGGACCTTTAGGGCTTATGTCCAGAGGCTAGGAAAACTTGAAAACTCTGGAATTGAATTCCTCTTCAATGGGTTTCTCGCCCAGT